ACTGGATCTTTCACGTCACGTCAATAGGGCTGCTTTTGCATTTGTGCAGAGAAGAGAGATCTCTCTTCTGAAGAACATTTACTTGAAGCTACGCAGGGCCTTATAGCGCATTATGGAGACCAAGACCATTTTCTCGAAATGCAAAAAACGCGTGTCCTCATTAAAAGCATGAGACCTTCTCTATATAAGGAGAGACCTCAAGCTCCAGTTGATTCTATTGAGTTTCTAGGGCATCCAACAAACCCTGCAAGGAACTGGAGCTGCCACTTCTCTTAAGTCAACTGAATCTCTCTTGTATCTGTCTCGCGAAGCAGAAAATTCTATTCCATTTGTCGGCACAGAGGCTTGATTCCCCGACAGTGACCGAATTAGGGAGATGTTGGTTGTTTTGAGCTCATTTCTACAGAGGTAGTTTTCTACAGAGGAAGTCTCAAATCCTTGGCCCTGCATCTTCCCCATGTAGAACCCCCTTGCCAAATTGGTTCCAAATTTGCGGGAGAATTCTTTGATTTCGGGCTCCGCAATGAATCCCGGACTGAAGGTGCTTCATGTGAAAAGGAATTGACAAGTCCTCAGCTTCTTGATATCTATTGACAAAAACCCGCAGACATTTTTAAATCCTGGCTCCTGTCTGCCTTTTTTCTATGGAATAGCATACTACTTGCATTTCAAATCTAAAGAGGAAGTCTCAAGTCTTGGACATCTTTTCTTCTCTCCACATAATTCCTGAGCAAATGCTTCTCAAGTCTCAACAGGAAGTAGCTATTATTCAGAACATTATACCTATTGACGCCCATGAGAATTTCCTAGGAAGGGGAAAAAGAATCCCAAGACCTGAGAATTCACGTAAAAACTTAAAGCATATGTGCATTGTAAGGGGCTTTTGCATAGATACATGTGTAGAACAGGCGCCTAGGATTTAGAGATTCCTGTTCAAATTTGCAACACATGTAGCAAGAAAACCATCTAGATAATGTCAGGAGCCCTGCATGTCAAAATTCTTTTTCAAAAATCTGAAACATATCTGGTAAGGGATTTACATAGGAAGAACAAGGAGCTCATAATCAATTATTTTCTCCGTGTCTGCCTTACTCTCAAGAAGAGAGAACTAGCTTATCCATGACCATGTTGAATGCGAAAACGCAGGGCACACCTATACCGCGCAACCCAAACGCTACATAAATCGTATAAATGACAAGAAGTGACTTGCAGTAGCTTGATGCTCAAACTGCCCCAGATCCCAAACCACAGGAGCAACGATAATTTCTTGCAGTCAGGACAGTCAATGAGGGTAGCAACCGCAGGAACAACAAGAACGCGATAACGGCAATATCTCTCTACATCAGGCGAATGGTCCGAGCGCCAGAACCTTGTAACATAGAGGCAAGGTCCATTCATCCCTCCAAGCTGCTAGGTTTAAGTTTAGGGTTTAGGGTTTAGGGTTTAGGCTTTAGGGCTTATTACAATTACTTAAGGTTTGGGGGTGTCATTTTGGTATTGAGGTTTTAAAATTAAGCCAATGTAGGTACCCTAAGTAATGGTAAGTCCACGGACCCGAGGGCCCAGGGTCTAGGGATTAGGGTTTAGGGTGAAGGGTTTCATTGCCCATGTTCTTCTCCATCTGGTTTCCTGTTCTTCGACTTCTCGACTTATTTCTACATTACGACTTGTATCCAGAGGTCTTGCAGAGGGAAAGCTTGGCAGCAAGGGTGGCCCTGCAATTCCTCTGCGGCCCAACATATGAGCCAGCGTCTAAACTCCTAGTATCCCTTAATAACCTCTCTAAAACTCCCCTATAATACTACCCCCCCTATCGAACCTCCTTTTAAGGAGTTTACACTGCAGCTCATATTGGCGGCTTTTAGGGAATGTAGGCCTGGATCTATTGCGGGCCCTCATGTAATCCCCAAGAACATGGTAGCCTCCATGTGTTCCTTTCCTTTATTCCCTACCCTAAGCCCTAAACCGTCAACCCTACTCACACCAAGTTTAGGGTTTAGGGTAGGAGCTTCCAGAACACAGCATTGCGCAGCTGCCTGGAACCGTTTTGGCTGGTTGCTCAAAATACCGGCCCCTAGAAAAACTAGAAACATGGGGATTATCAGGGCTCTACAGGTACTCTAATCCTTCTACCTCAAATATTCTCCCCTCAGCCCCTTTGAACTCCACACCCTGCACCGCCTTGAGCCCTTAAGCCCTAAATCCTGAACCCTTGACCCTCAACCGCCGTGAAACCTAAGCCCTAAAACCTAAGCCTTGAAGCCCACACCCCAAAGTTGTAAAAAACAAATCGTAAAACCATGTAAACCTTAAATACTACAGTAAATCTTAAACCTTAAGCCCTAAGCCGGAACACTCCCCCCTCTAAACCCTGAAACCTAAACCCCAGAGCGTGTTCAAGTCGAGCATCTTCCGGCAGAGGGGGCAGCGCCGCGCGCAGGGACCCCGGTGCAGGCAGTCCGCCAGGCAGGCACGACAGAACCTAATGGGTTTAGGGTTTGGGGGTTTAGGGTTTGGGGGTTAAGGGGGTTTAGGGGGTTTAGGGGGTTTAGGGGGTTTAGGGTTTGGGGGTTAGGGGTTTAGGGTCTAAGGGTGTAAGGATTAGGGGAGGTCTTAGGGCTCTAGGATAATGGGTTTAGGGTTTTGCGGTTTGAGTGTACCTTTAACTGTTCAACCACGTGATTCTTCTTATAACAACCCAAATGAGGGCTAACCTTATCCTATACTAAGACTATGGCCTCCCTGTTTAGAATAACTACTTCAATGAGGTTTTGGCCTAGGGCTGAAGACTTCTGGCTTAGTGCATATCTACTAAACAGGCCTATGTAACCCCAACGCCCCGCAGACCTCAACCCTACACTAAAGCCCCAGATCCCAGAGAGCCCCAACCAAGCAATATACTTCCAACTTCTCTATAATATAGTAGTTTCCATCTGATTTTCCATCATCCCGAAATAACCCCTATGTTATTATATAACCCTATATAATCCCTATAACCCCTGTAGTTTCCATTTTTCCATTATCCCTATATAATCCCAATATATACCTTGGAGCCTTTTCAGCTGCCTTTGATGTTAAGTACAGGCTACTGCTGAGCTTTGGACGCATGGGAGCAAGGCAAGACCACCGGTTCGTAAAGGAGTTCGTGGCACAGGGCGCACACGAAATCCTGCAATCCAGGATTTTGCTTGCTGGTCGAGCTCGTAAGTGGTAAGGCTTGAGTAAGAGAGAATGTCTCACACACTTGCCAACATTGGTCCTCAAGCCATACGGATTAACAGCAAAGTTGAGGCTTGCAGCGGAAAAATGCTTCTCTTGAAATATTGATAGTTAAACAAAACCCAGTACCAGGGACCCAGTAGCTTCAGTCTTGTGCTTTCTTGCAGTGTCGTTTTCTCAGAAACGCTACAAGACTTCTTCGCCAAAACCATCCAGGTCCATGCCGCCAACGTATCGTCCGATCTGGGGCTGCTGAACTATTCTGATCTGCCACCCACTCAAACACCCTTTCTTGAAGGCTTCCCAACTACTACGAGCCAACACAGAAGTGCAAACCATGGGGTTAACAAGCTAGGTTGACTGAATTTCTAGGTCGGCTTACGCTGCTTAAAGTATAGACTGTCTCGGGACTGGGGACGGGCGTTGCATGTCGAAGGGTCCAGCGCATCTTTGCGCCTGCAGGAACTAGGACATCATGCACCTTGCGACCTAACCCCTATAGCTGTCCTTTCATGTCTCCATGAAAAATGCCTCAATCCTCAATCTGTTTCCCATTCCTCCGTAAGTTTCCCTACTCCAGTCCTCATCAGTTGACATTGAAAAAGAAGCAGTAGGCAGCGTGTGCAGGCAGGGATACGAAGCCTTTCACGCCTCCCCGCCACGTTGCACCACAGCGTCAGGTGTCAGGACACAAGGATGACAGTTGCTGTGCTGAGGCGTGTTGCAGCCAAGTTTGTGTCGGGCCTGTGCGCCTACGACCATGGCAAGTACTACTTTGGTATGGGTATGCCACATGACAACTCTGACTTGCTCTTGCATAGCAGCTAGTGTTGGTACGGCTTAGATTTTCGGGGTTTTAGGGTTTAGTGGTAAAAGGCCCGGGTCCAGGGTTGCTGTAGAAACCCAGTCCCGGCTCAATCCAGCGGAGATCACCATTCTAAAAAGTTTTGGGAAGGGCTCATGATGGGCAGCATGTCAGCGAAGCTATCAGCCGCTCTTTCGAGCTTGAGAGGAAAAGCGACGAAAACTTCACATGTCTTCTCATGCCCTGACCGAGGACTTCTTGCCCATCCAATCTTACGGATACAGGTGCCTCCCAGCGCAGACGCAAATGGGTGGTTGTCAAAATTATGGTCCCTTTTTGTATCCCTATTATAATACGGCACCTAATATTTAGGGTACCCCAAAAGGGACCATAATTTTGACAACCACCCAAATATGAGAACCTCAGAAGGACTGCAACTTGCAGCTTGTCGACTCCAAATGCGCACGTGCAAGAGCTTGCAAAGTGGCTGTGCGGAGGGAAGGTGCCTCTGCACAGCCGCAGTGCAAGTCAATCCTCTGCCCTCGATATCAGTCGGGCGCTCCCTCCTCACTCCAATCTGAAAACTGCCATTAGAAGTATGCGACAGGATGAGGGGCCAAACAATTGGGAGGGGAGCGAGATTGACATGAGCGGCAAGAGAAGAGTATCTCTACTGGATGACGGCTTTGACGTCAAGCATAAGGCGCTGTGGGCCACGTGTTATGGCACTGTATGCGTACAGGGCGTAGCGCTGCCAGGCACTCTACCTCGCCATAAATCCGGAAACTGAAGAACGAGGGGCCTTTACTGGTCGGCATATCCCTGTCAGATGCTTTCATATGTATGGCTGTCAAGTACAATTTTCCTTACCTATCACAGATTCAGTAGCGAAATGTCGGCAAACCCCAAGTTTGAATATTTGCAGTACGTCAGAGACGCAAGCTCATGATCTGCTCCGTGGCAGTTCTGCTCATCCTCAAACGCGAGAAGCCTGGCAAGAAGGACTTAGACTGTCCCAACGCGTTTGACCCATAAGGCCATGCGATGTGAAGGTCCCCTAAGGTTAGGGGTTCCTTCTTCGGAGTCCCCATCATAAGGCCCTATACTATATCGAGATGAACATTGAGGCTGCCCTTTTTCAAAAACTACCATGTGTTCAAAGCTGGGATCCACCTGATCTACCCATGCTTCGTCAATATAGGGCTTATATAGGGATTATAGTGGGATAATGGAAAAGAAAACGGAAACTATAGGGGTTATAGGGCTTATATAGGGGATATAGGGGTACATATATTGGGCTTTTACTTCGCGAAACTAAGTATTGCTGACCAGAGTGGCACCCTTGTGGGCCCCCAAAAACAAAGGGGACATGGGGGTAAATTTGAGAGCGCACCGCCGTACTGAAGCCTCATGAGGTCTGTTGCCCTAAGCCCTAAACCCCAAGCCCTATAGCGCCCCTTAAGTAGATAGAATATGGCTTTGAGTATATTATAATAAGATCCCCATGTACCCCATATTCTATCTACTGAAGGGGACGATACACCCTAAACCCTAAACCCTACATAGGAGTCACCATTTTCTTTTCCATCATCCCTATATAACCCCAAATATAACCCCTAAACACTAAACCCAATATAATCCTAATATAACCCCTATCTACTTAAACCCAAAACCCAAAACCCAATATAACCCCATCATAACCCCAATCTACCTAAACCCAAAACCCAAGATGCCCCAATATAGCCCCTCTCTGCCCTAAACCCTAAACCCTAAATTTCTTTTCCATTCTCCCTATGTAGCCTTAATACCCCCACACCCTATCCCAATATGACCCCAATATTACCGTCATATTCCCTACATCCCCTATTATATGGTAGTAGTTTCCATTTTTCTTTTCCACTATCCCTAAACCCTAATACCCTCACACCCTAAACCCCACACCCTCAATCCCGAACCCTAAACCCAATATAACCCCTATCTACCTAAACCCTGAAGCCTCATGAGTAGCGTTTTTTTTTGGTGGTTAAACCCAGTAAGATTATATTCCTTATATAAAATACTATACCCCAAAAGGAGGATACAATCTTACTCTATATTTGGTACCATAGTATCCCCAAATAAAATACTACA